CATTTATTTTACTTTTTGTGTAAAGGTAAACAAGAGAATGTATGTTTGCTGGAAACGCTATTAAGCTCCATGACCTAGTCTTGAAAAAAAATATTTTAAAATGACCTAATTTAAGCAAACACTTTTGAGATGCTTCAATTCAACTCTATCAGCATATAAAAGCAGTAAGATACTTTCTCAATTGCACAGAAAGAAGCTACTATAAGACTTCTTCTAGCCCAAGTGAAATTTAGAATTCAATATAAAGTAACGCTTCCTGTAAAAGTACTAATGAGAAACATAATATGCTTTCCTTGGCTGACAGAGCAGAAAAGAAAGTTAGAGGACTTGTTCTTGTTTTTCTTGAAAGCTTAATTGGGAGAAGAAAGGGATAAATGATGAATACATTGTGAGATCTGGTAACCTGTGAGTAAAGCTCAATATATAGAACAATATGCCTTTTTTTTGCTTATCTTACACTAAGTTAATATTTGCTCTCTGATTTCCTTCATAAGGGAGAGTGTTGCAGCTTAACAAGTGTCTGAATGAAATGATGCATTGAGACTCTGTATTCAGTGGTCATCAGGTATAATCACTCGTCATGTTAGGGTCTGAATATATTAGACTGAAGCAATCAGATTATAGGACCAGGTAGGAGGATCATTTTTCAATGGGGGAAGGAAAAAATGAACTACACTAATATTGCAGTATAACTCAGTGCTAAGAAATATATGTGCATCCTTTGAAGCTTTTTCCTTTCAATAATTAAACTGCCTACCTAAATGCCTGTATATTTCATTTACAAACTCCCTCCCCCGGCTTGATTTAAAGGAAAAAACAAAACAAAAACAGTTTGCAAAGAAATAACTAGGATTTGAGATTAGAATTTCAATAGTATTATTTTCCTTTCCAAAAATTGTAACAGTAATAATTAAAATAATCTTTAATAATGAAGACAGATTGTGCTGTTCAGTATGAGATATATAAGGCTGCAAGTTTATCATGGAAGTCACAGATTCCGTGACTTTCTGGGATCTCCGTGACTTCTGCAGCAGCCGGTGTGGCTGGTCTGGGGGCCACCTGAACAGCTCAGGCAGCCCCTGGGCCAGCTGCACTGGCCACTGCTGGGGCAGTCTTGCGCCACCGTGGCCCCCTCCCTCAGCAGCAGCAGGAGATTGGGTGTGGGAGGGGGCTCAGGGCTGGGGGTGCAGGAGGGAGTGAAGGCTCTGGATGGCGCTTACTTCAGGGGGGCTCTCTGGAAGCGGTGACCTCTCCCCTCCCCCCCCTCCAGCTCCTAGGCAAAGGTGTGGCCAGGAAGCTCTGCATTCTGCCTCGCCCTGCAGGCGCTGCCTCTGCAGCTCCCATTGGCTGTGGTTCCCAGCCAATGGGAGCTCGGGTAGAGAGAGTGCAGAGCTGCCTGACTGCGCCTCCTCCTAGAAGCTGAGGGAGGGGGATGTTGCTGCTTCCGGGGACATGTGGAGCCAGGAAGGGAGCCTGCCAGCCCTGCCCAGCACCAGCGGGGATTCCAGGCCACACATCACTACCCGTATCCCCCAGCATCAGTGGGGGTCCTGGGCTGCATGCCCCCACCTCCTCCTTGTACCTGCGGTGTCCCCTGGACTGCCCTCCCGAGCACACGTGGCACCCCTGGACCGCACCCCCTCCCAAGATTTAGTCAGGGGTATTTAGTACAAGTCATGGACAGGTCATAGGCTGTGAATTTTTGTTTACGGCCCATGACCTGTTGATGACTTTTACTAAAAATACCTGTGACTAAAACATAGCCTTACTGATCTAGCATAAGGAGACATTTGAGCTTCTCACTACAGTAGTTTCCTGTTACCTTAGTGCTCCATGTTAGCTTGTTATAAAGAGAAGCTGGCAGCCCAATATTTAGATTTTTTGAAAAAGAAAATCAAAGGTTACAAGAAACCTCATGACTGTGTTGATTTAAAAGACAAGGGAGCAAAATGTTTTTATAAACACTCCCCTGCAGTGATTCTCAAACTTTTCCCTATTGTGGCCTCATGTCACAATAGAAACAAGTTTCAAGAATTCTTTCTGGTAAGTTTCAACATTGAGCAAATGCCAGAGAACAACAAAAGGAAATTGAATGAAGACAAACTAGTATATTTTAACTGTTTCAAGCCACGTATAAATAATCATAGCATATATGGTGAAAAATAGATTACTAAATATTTATTTTTAAATGTAAGATGTAATATCACTTGGTAAAAATGCCCAGAACTATCCAAGGACCCCGCGTTTCAAACTCTGTGCGTCATGCTTGCGATCCTTCTCAGTCAGTGATGACCATCAATGCTGTCTCTACTTCCTGGGAGAAGCTCACACTTCAGCTAGGTGCTGTATTTCCCAGACAAATCCAAGAAGGGCAGAGTTCTTCATCTCTGCAAGTATCTCGTGGAGATGGCCATGAGACCAAACTCAGACCCAGGCCAGGGTACCCCCTCCTGTACCTCAGTCTGATTCAGCAAGGACCATGCCTCCCACTACTATGTCTAATTCCGGTGCAACCACCCCACTGACCTCATGGTGGGGCCTACTTGGGAAGTTTGGGGTGAATAAGCACGGGGCTAATTCTTCCTCTAAATCCAAGAAAATGGACACTCCCTGCATTAGCTCAGCCTATAGGGACAGAGCACATTCCAAGTACAACAGACATGAGAAGAAGACCCAGAAACTATGGGATCCAACTGTCTCGGGCACTGAACCACTGGTACCACCTTCACTGGCACCCCACAAGGCACAAGAACTGCCCATACCGGGGAAGTTCTCAGCACGGTGCCGATGGAGGAAAGAGTGCCCCTCACAGCAGGAAGATCCAGATCCGTGGCTGAATCTCAAGAGGTCTTTGCCTTACCAAACCAAGAGTCCCTTCCCGCTATCTGGCTCCTCCCCTTCCAGGGAGATCATAGCCCCTCCATGGAATTTGCCTATGGTACAGGGTCTCTTGCCCTCTTTGCAGGTACTATACTCTGTTCCATCAGCTCTGATGGTACCACTTCTAGAACTGGCAGATCTAGTTTACTGGCCATATTGGGGTCCCTGGACACAGCATCCACCCGATCAACAAGAGAATCACCACCTGCTTCCCCTCCAAGGGATCCATTGAGCAGGTTCACGGATCTAATAGCAGAGGAAGACACTTACACCCCAGTCCCGACCTTCCCATCTTCCTCCCCTCTTCCTCACCAGAGTGGTAACTACATCATCCCCCTCCCCACCAGGTGACTTCAGACTGTTCCAGGAGCTGCTAGGAAGAGTTGTAGGAGAACTCCAGATTACATTGAAATAGATTCAAGACTCGCAGCATAATCTCCTGTATTTCTTACACACCTTGGCATCGGCAAGAGTAGCACTCCAGTTAATGTCATATTGGAGCCAGCCAGAGCTGTATGACATATCCCTGCTACGTGTTCTGCAATTATCAACGAAGCAGAGAAACAATACTATGTCCCGACCAAGGGATCAGAATTCCTCTTCTCCCATCCTGCTCTGAACTTGCTGGTGGTTCAGGCTGCTGCAGAGTGGACCAAGCAGCAACACCCTCCGTCCACTCCGGAGGACAAGGATGGGAAACGCTTCAATCTCTTAGGAAGGAAAGCCTTCTTTTCCTCCACTTACAATTCAGGATAGCGAATTATCCAGCCCTATTGGCTAAATATGACCTCCTGAATTACACTAAGTTCAAGGAAGTCACTGATGCCCTACCAGAAGATTGTGCCCGCTTCCAGGCACTCGTTGAGGAAGGGAACCTTATAACCAGAACTGTCCTACAGTCTGTGGTAGATACAGCTGATACTTCCTCCAGGGCCATAGCCATAGCTATCATGATGCATAGGGAGTCCTGACTTCATGCTTTTGGTTTTCCTAGGGAGGTCCAGATCCAGAACACCATCAAGGACCTCCTCTTTGATGAATCCCATCTTTTCAAGCAAAAGACTCCAGAGCTCCCCTCCGCTCACTGGGCATAGAGACTCCTGCCCTGAAACAAATTCCACTGCCCATCATCCATCCACAGACACAGAACTCCTCAACTCAATCACCTTATGAACCTCATGAAAACACCAAAAAAAATGGAAGATCTCACTTCCCTTGTCTCCCCTCACTGTCTTCCTCATGTCAAGCCCAGCCTGAGACCAAGAGGTATTGTTCGCACAAGCTTGAGAACCACCAACCACAGAGCCTAAGACCTCGCGACCCCTCCACTCCCTTTGGTCGCTTAGCACCAAGTACAATAACAGACAGACAAATGGGTGCTGAATATCATCCACCACAGCTATACAATCAAGTTTGTCATGCTACCTCCTCCAAACCTCTCTCCCCCACCCCCACCCCCGTCTGCCTTCAGGGACCACTCTCACAACAGTATCCTCACCTATCAGATGAACTCCTTGCTCCTCGGGGAGCAATAGAACACATTTCTCTAGAGTAGGCAAGCAGCGGGGTGGGGCTAGCCAATGGCTGGCTGGCCGGGGAGTGAGGGTGAGCCAGTGGCAGGGTGCGGGGGCAGCGGCAGAAGGCCAGCGGTGGGCAGGTAGGTGAGCTGAAGGCAGGGGAGCAGGCGAGCTGGCAGCAGACAGGTAGGTGAGCTGGCGGCGGCGGGGGGGAGAGGTGCTGAGGAGGTGAGTGAGCGGCGGGGGGTGAGTAGGAGAGCCGGGGAGGGATGTGGGGGGGAGTGGATGAGC